CTGTTCCATGGGAGAAAGACGAGACTTTCTGCTCCCGTAAAGATTTACAGCCTCGGAAACCCTGTACAGGGTAGCTGTGAGTTGGAACTAACTCCATGGCACATAACAACAGTAACAACCATATGCATGTAGAGTCCTGATGTGACGCTGTAAGATAAGCATTGGACTGCTAACCATAAGGTTGGCAGTTCAAACCCACCAGCCACTCCTTGGAAACTCCATACAGGGTTGCTTTGAGTCAGAATTGACTTGATGGCACTTAACAACAATATATATGCATGTGGGAGCACGGTGGCTCCATAAGATAAGCATTGGACTGTGAACTACAAGGTTGGTGATTCGAGCCTACCAGTTAGCTGCTCTTGGGGAGAAAGATGAGACTTTCTGCTTCGGCAAAAAGATTTAAAGTCTCAGAAACTCTATACGGGGTCGCTGTGAGTCGAAACAAACTCTGCGACACTAACAATATATGCATGTGCCCATATCTAGGTGCTTTAATATTTTTTACAAAAACGATACTGTACTACATTATAAATTTGTAGTGCCTGCATTATATTGAGATTTGTGTGTGATATTGTGCTTCTGTCCCGTACTACATTATACTGATGGAGAGCTCTGGTAGTGTAGTGGTTACGAGTCGGGCTGATAACCTCAAGGTCAGCAGTTTAAAACTACTAGCTGTCCCATTGGGAGACAGATGAGGCTTTCTGCTCCCGTAAAGATTTACAGCCTTGGAAACCTTGTACAGGGTCGCTATGAGTCAGAACTGAGTCCACAGCACACCCACACCCCCACCCCCGCATATGGAGCCCTGGTGTGGTGCTGTGGGTTAATGCACCGGTCTGCAAAGTCAGTTTGAACTGTAAGAACGACGGTTCAAGCTTACCAGCTGCTCCTTGGAAGCCCTATACAAGCTCGCTATGAGTTGGAACCGACTCGATGGTATTTAACAACAACAAACAAGAAGACATCTTCATAATTTTGCCCCCTGTATGCTACACCACAAGGAGCTCTGGTAGCATAGTGGTTACGAATAGGGCTGTGAACCGCAAAGTCAGCAGTTTGAAACTACCAGCTGCTCCGCGGGAGAAAGAGGAGGCTTTCTGCTCCCATAAAGATTTACGGCCTTGGAAACCCTGTACAGGGTCGCTATGAGTCGGAACCGACTCCACGGCACATAACAACAACAACAACAATGCTACACCACAAGGAGCTCTGGTAGTATAGTGTTTACAAGTCAGGCTGCTAACCTCAAGGTCAGCAGTTTGAAACCACCAGCTGTTCCGCGGGAGAAAAATGAGGCTTTCTGCTCCTGTAAAGGTTTATAGCCTCAGAAACCCTAAGCAGCACACCACCACCACCACCACACTACACCATGGAGTCCTGGTGTGGCGCTGTGGGCTAATGTGCTGGACTGCAAGGTTGGTTTGAATCACAAGGTTGGTGGTGATTCAAGCTCACCAGTTGCTCCTTGAAAACCCTATACAGGGTCGCTATGCATAGGAACTGACTCAGTGGTACTTAACAACATTCACAGATTACGCTTGAATCAAAGGTTAGTACCAGGCTACAACTATTCTGTCAAACCTTTATATATATGTGGGTATACTCTCATACCTGTTTAGCCTGTGTGCCTGTCCTCACATATACCTACAGAATACTTGTTGTAGGGTTGTGCATATAAAAGTAGTAACCTCTAGTCCCTGTGTCTCTTGCTCTGCTCCCTGTGTCTCCCCTTTCATTATTCTCTGTCACCCTCCCTCTTGTTGTACACTGCCTTCCCCATCACCCAAGTTACCATGTGGCCTGGTGTGGCGCTCTAGGATAAGCACTGGACTGCTAACTGCAAGGTCAGTGGTCCAAGCCCACCAGACACACCTCAGAAATGCTATTCAGGGCTGCTATGAGTTGGAAGTGACTTGATGGCACTTTACAACAACAACCTTCTAGCCAGTGAATTACTCTCCCATCACTCTCAACCCTGATAATCATCAAAGAATGTTTTTCTAACATGAAAACCTTTTCTTGGCTTTTTACAACAATGATCTCATATAATATTTGTCTTTTTGTGATAGATTAATTTCACTCAGTACAATGCCCTCCAAGTTCATCCATGTTATGAGGTCTTTTGCAGATTCATCATTATTCTTCAATGTAAGGTGTGATACATTGCATGTATGTACCAAATTTGTTCATCCATTCTTCCATTGATGGGCATCTAAGCTGTCTCTATCTTTTTGCTATTGAGAATAGTGCTGTAATGAACATGTTGTTGCTGTTAATAGGGTTTCCGAGGAGCAACTGGTGGGTTTGAACTGCCGACCTTGTGGTTTGCACAGGTGTGCATGTATCTATTCATGTCATGGCTCTTATACCAAGTAAAGGGATTGCTGAGTCATACAGTATTTCTATTTCTAACTTTTTGAGGAAATCCAACCTTTTGAGGAAACACCATACTATTTTCCAGACCGGGTGCAACATTATACATTCTCATCAGCAGTGTAGGAGGGCTCCAGTCTCTCCACACTCTCGCTAGCATTTGCTCTTTTCTGTTTTTTTAAAAAAATTTAGCTATTAATGCTGGGGTGAGATATCTTGATTTGATTTACATCTCTCTAATGGCTAATGATCACGAACATTTATTCCTACAGTTGCTGGCCACCTGAATATCTCTCTTTTTTGGTGAAGTGTCTGTTTATGTTCTCTGCCAAATTTTAAATTGGGTTATTTGTCTTTTTCTTATTGAACTGTTGAAGTTTCTAGTGGATTTTAGAGATTAGTCCCTTGTTTCATATGTCACTACCAAATTTTTTTCCTAGACTGTAGTTTCTCATTCTTTTTGGTGAAATCATTTGATGAACATAAATGTCTAATTTCTAGG